GGGTTAGGGTTAGGGTTAGTGGTTAGCGGTTAGGGTAGAGTGTAGTATATACCAAAATTTTGTGAGAAATTTTTTTTTGTTAGAGCTCGAAAGGCAGTTTCATAGACGGCATTTTGAGCTATTTCAAAATTTTAAAAAATTTCTTTATTTTTGTTACACAAAATTAATTTGCACATTACACCTGATCTTCAAATTTAATTGGTCAATTGTTAAAAGGCGATGTATAAGCACATCGCAGTAGTACCCTAGCCATGGCGAAAAAAAACCTACTATCACGTGATGACGATCACTTCCGACCTACTGATCTACAACTCGATTAAAAATCAATGCTATACTTTCCAGCCAATCATTATCGAGAGCTAAAAAAAATTTTTTAAGATTTCAATTATCAGTCACTAACTATAAAGTTTATTATATTAACATCTTCGAAAGTACAAGATTATGAATTCTGGTTCTAAAAAATATTTATTGAGCTTTATTTTTAAACTGCTAATGTAATTTTATACCTACCAGTACACTAAGTACTAATCGAATTTACCATACATGTAGTTAATAATAATAGTGATAGAGACGGTTTTACAGTTATATAATTTATGAACAGATAAGTAACATTTTATTCGCTTTTAATAACTAAAAGAAAGCTAAACTAATACTACTCTAGAAAATTAGGATCTCGGTATATCAAGACTCAAGTCACAAATATCGTTGAGTAAGAATCAGGTAATCTTTTAACTTTAAGGATCCACACCGTCAATGCAACCAGAAAGAAAGTTTCCCATTTTTTGGGTCCCAAGTTTTTTGCTGTGTGCGGGCATTTAGTTTTTCTTCGCATTCTTCAATGGCTTTGGCAAATGGCTTCAAAAGGATATCGAAATTCTTTACGAATTGATCATTGGTTTTCTCTCTTTCGTACAACATTAATGCTGAATTAAAAATCTTATTATAGTACGCTAATTTCTCTTTTGCTTGATCTATTGTATTATTTTTTGTCTCTAATATTGCATTTTGTAAGTTGCTAAAACTTATAGATGGTTCTTCTGTATTATCTATTAGATTCAACTTATTCATCTCCCAGGGATCATTTTCTTGGCAAATCGTTGGTATTGTTGTATCAGCATCGAAAATGAGTAGGGGATAATCATGTCGACGCATTGTTTTCTTAAATGTTGGTAAAAAATAGATTCTGTTTTTTTTAGCAACTAAATGCTTGCACAATAGATAAGGACTATGCAGGTACGCTGGGCAAGAACATGTCCAGTTAATTATATTGATATGGTATCTTTCATCCATACCAAATTCAATATTTGTAGCAGCATATTTATCCCAATCACTCTGAAATGCTTGCCACCATGACGGAAGATTACGGTTTGTATTATAATGGGTTAGCTTTAGGTCAAAATCTGGTATTAATTGCTCTGCAAGAATTTGTGTAAGCCGATCTAGACGAGGTCTGTTATAAGTATACTTATATTTATATTTGATTACTCGCCAGTGGCTTTCAGTAATCATTGTTGTTCGGGCTAGAGGAATTGCTTGTGAATAAGCTGAACGAGCAAACAATTTCCATTCCTTCCTGTTGTACCAGTTTATCCACAAATGGGGAAGATTATCAGCCCGGCAGCATTGATATACCTCTTGCGTACAAAATCGATATATTTGTGCAGAATTCAAAAATGTGTTTTTTGCTATTGGAATTAATGGGTGCATGTTTGCATGCCGTTTAACCATACTTACAATTTTTTTAATTTGATCATCAGAACACAAGCTTCCAATCTTGTTTTCTGGAAACCACGAAGGGTCAATAAAATCAAACTGATGGGAGGCTTCAGCTGCTTTTTCTTTTGAATAACCTGATGCTTTTGGTTTTTTATCTTTTAGGCGTCGTCTAATTGCATGATCTAAATGCCAGTAACATAATTGTATATTCGCTGTCCACGACCAAGCCTCTTCTACTGCTGATATTTCTCCTGCATCTTTATCTAATAGAACAAAGGCTGGCAATAATCCCTCATTCCGAAGACTACTAAAAAACTCACGTAGGGCTTGTACACGTGTGCAGGTTGTGTTTTTTGGATTATTATATGATTCTTCTGTTCCATCACACATCAAAAGAAACAAATATGCTAGTGGCATTCCATACCCCCTATGGTTAGCATTTACAACGAACAATTCAAACCGTTCTTGGTTGGTTTTAAAGGTAGAATCTATGATAATTTCTTTTAAATTTTTAATACCAATACGTTCTAACAATGGCGTAGTAAACCCAATAGCTTTTACAAAACTATTTTTTACATAGTAGGTAATTTTGAAGCCTTGTTGTTGTTCAAGATATTTTTTCGCTGATAAGAGCTGATCTGTTGAATCGAACATATATGTTTGCCTGCTAAAAATTGTTACCCAATAATATACTTGTTCTTTTGTGTGTATATTAACATTAATAAGCTTATGCTGTTGAAGAAGCTCATATAATTTAGAGCTTTGTAAATTGTATTTAATGTTATCTCTAATCCATTCTTTCGCTGCAGCTGGAAACTCAACCTGTCTATACTGTGGATGCTCGTGTGCTAATTGATGGCTGCATTGAACAATTGCGCGTTGTTTTTGTGGATCAATGGTAAATATCATATTTCCCATACATGCGTATCTATTTATTTGAGGACGGATTTCACTTTTTCGTTTCACTGGTGTATTTTCAGGCCTCTGCCATTGTCTGTCCTCACGTTGTGTACATCCAAGATATACAGTGGCACAACCAGCTAGTTCTTTCTTACTAGTGTTAAGATATATTTTTCGCACCTCCCAATAGTAACCAGATCCATATTCAAATAGTAAGAGAAGTACGTTGGCAAGTTGATGAAAGCTTTCTCTAATTGCTTTTAGATCTTGTGCGTCAAACTGGGATTCCCGGTTCAAAAAAATATTTTCAACAAGTCTTGAATCCAACTCAATTTCGAAGATTAATTTTACTGGTTCATCTGAATCTTCTAAATCTCGGAACTGCTTAGCAACGAGTTCTTGTACTTCATCTAAGGTATAAAGAAGTCCGTTTATGTTATCATTCTCATTAACTTTTTCCAAAGATTCTGAAGACAGTTCTTGAGGAATATCATCGTCTAATTCAAGACCTACAAGGTCAGAAAGAGATCTGCTAGAATTATTAATTGTCTGAGTTACTGTGGTATTAACGCTTGGCATTGGCATATTTAAGCTAGCTTCAAGCTTTGTTTTTTTTCTTGTTAGTTGGTCTACTCTTTTTCGCGCATTCTTATGTCTAAGATGGCATGGGTTACAGGTTGCATGTTCGTATTGTGGGTTACCTTTATATAAACGACAAAATTCTTCTTTTTTTCTCTTGTTACCACAATTTGAGCATGTTTTTATGCTAGAGCTTAGATTAGAAAATTCGATAAGATCTTTACTATTCATTTTCTATTAGATTTTCTTTATGATTGTATTATGTTCAAGAACTAATTTTTATTTTTTTTTATATTTATACTTGAGAATAGAAGTTTATCTTTATTATAGAAAAAATATGTCCTTTTTATAGAAATATAGCGGTGAAGAAATATAACCTATTAGTTTCGAAGAATTTAAGAAGTTCGTTCATTCTATGAGGCTTTGTTATATGCAACAGAAATTTTTTCATTCTGATATTCTAAATTAGCTAACATTTTCTTATGTCCTATTAATCATTCGATTTCACTACCATGAATTTCACGTTTGAGTTTTCATACACGGCCACAGTATTAACTTTGATAAGTATTATTAATGCTTCGCCTTATTTTTGTGGCCCATTATTAACTCAAATATTCAACTTATTTTATTATATGCAGTTTAAATAATCGGCTTAGATTAGGCCTTTATCTGGATAAGCATAATTAATGCTTTATCTGCTTTTCGCGATGCTGTTACTAATCTAACGAATGTAACTTTAATTTAGTAATTTGGCAGATATATTGCGGATTCAACACGCTTAGAATCATGGGTTTGGAGCCACAATCTTACTCAAATAAGTATTATTAGTGCTCCTGTGGCGCTATTGTGAATTTGGCAAATTTAACCTTATTTGGTTTTATTACCAGGTTCTAGATCACGATTTTACTAAATATGTATTATTATTCAATGCACTATCTTTTTCTATTGCCTATTATTAATCCAATGCTAATATTGAATTATGTTATAGATTACTCAAGTTTAAAATCGTGGGTTTCAAATTACAATTTTAATTGTATAAACCTATTACCCGAATAAATATTTAAAGAATATCGTATTGCAAATCAACTTTGCATTTTATAATTCAGGTTGAACAAAAATTTTACTAACCCTTCGTTATTATATTAGCGATTAGATAAGTATATGGTATTTAATAAGATATGTGTTTATAAAAACGTTGTGTATATTTTTAATTAAACTGACTTTATAAAGTAATGTGTTTGAATAATATTTAGAAGCTATATATAATTAAACCAAGTCAGTGAATTAAAATAAAATTAGCTTAAAATGAAATTTTGTAGTGTAAAATAGACAAGCCACCAAAAAATGCAAAATTTCAGGGTGCACTCTTTTAGCTTCTTTTTAGCGTTAGAGTAGAATTTATATTAAACAAGTATAAGTAAGACTTAGAAGACTAAATATAATCTGATTTCATTAGGATCCGCGACAGTAAAATTAATAAAATTAATATATAGTTTATGTGAAGAGCATTTTTAAATGTATTCGTTGAAATATTTAAATTTAAAAATAAGTGTAAAAAAAATTTTAAAATGTTTATATTTAGCGCTTGAGAAATTATTTATATATTAATTTTGTTGACTATATTATTAATAATTTTTATATTTAGCGCTTGAGAAATTATTTACATCTTAATTTCGTTGACTATTTTATTAATAATTTTTAATCTTTTCGCTCAAAAGACGGTAATAGACATCTGGTCATATGATAGTAATTGTCATGCCAATTTCCGATATTAGTAAGGTCGGAAATGATCGTCATCACGTGATAGTAGGTTTTTTTCGCCATGGCTAGGGTACTACTTTTAATATACATCGTCTTTACCTACACATAATCTGTAACCCGAATTTTTTAAAACAGTGACCAAAAAAGCTGGTGTTCATAAAAGAAAATTGTTGATCATATTTTTATAATAATCTGACCCTTTAGATTGCTTTTTTATTGGGCTGTCTTGGCATTCGCGCAAAGACACACTTGGTTAACTATTTGACACATGGCAAGGGTAATTATCTATAGTGATATGGTAACTTAGGAGTTATCTTTATTGGGCTACCTCGATGTTAGCGCAAAGATACACACTGGATCAGTTGCTTAAGCCACTTGTTAAATATTTGATTTTCAAGGCGATAAATAAGTAATTAAAGGAGTTTCTTGCCAATAAGTTTACTAATTCTCAAGAAGAGTTAGTTATATCTTTTTTTATTGAAGAAACTTTGACTAATGAAAAAATATTACGACTTTGGTTGTAATGATTGACTATTTTAATAGTAATAATCCAGAGTATTATTATTAAATGAGTCAATAGAGCGCCTCCATTATTATTTGCCTGAAATTTTGACTTACAGTATTTTATTACGAAATTTTAAAAAATTCTCGGGCCTTTTCGTTAGGGGTTTTTAGGGTTAGGTTAGGGTTAGTGTTAGTAAAAAAAGTATATGTGAATTTTAGTAGGTATTGTAGATTTACTATATATTAGGATGAACCTGGAACTATTGCTACGTCCGATGCCATCACGTCTGACTCCAACAGGGAGAGTCCTGAAGTAAGTTTCCTTTAATTTTTTGATGGATATAATTTACATATAGTTTAACGTATCTAATTGATTTTTATGGATCTCGAAGTCGAAGTAGAAGTTGAAGGCAAATAATAAGTTAATATACATTATTCATATCAGTGTTGTATTTATAGTCTTATCAAATTTTGACAATAAATTATTCATGTTCTGAAAACATAAGGTCCCGAAAAATATACAGTTTATAATCGATTTCTCTAAAATGGATTAATTATTATATAATAAGTCTATTTTGTTTTTGTACTGTACTATAGTCTATTAACGAATGATCAAAATTAATGGATTAAATGATGTTTTTATTGCTAATATTGTAACCTCTATTAAAAAGATCAAATTATAAGTTTTTTTTTCTTTTTTTTTTTCTTATTATAAATTAATTAAATTTTCTACAGACATTTAGAGATGGAAATTACGTAATTTTTCTATATAAAATTGATAAAAATGGATAAGTTATATGTTTTTTGGCTTATTTCTATTGGTTAATTAAAAAATATATTTTCGAAAATTTAATTTTTAGCGAATCAAAATGCAAGAATTCAAAAAAATATTAAATTTCAATATGAAATTTTTGAAAATGGGCCATTTCCATTTCTAAGTGTCCCACACTATATAAATTTAATAAATATTTAATTAAGACATCAAATTAAACAATAGAGGATTAAAATACAGGTATTAAATTGGATATAATCATATAATGGTTATTAATGTACTAATATTTCGGATGATCCTGTCTAGCTTGTACTCGAATATACTTTAGATGCGATGGGTAAAATTCATTCGTTGGAAGTGGAGAAGTATTCTTTGTCATTAAGAGTCCAAGCAGCGGAAGAAGAGATTTCTACCCTGCGACAGAAAGTTCAACATTTAGAGAGCGAAGTAATGAAATTAAAAGCAAAACATAAACATTCATAAAAAAAATAAATAAAGGATCAATGTGACGAGTTCGCAAACGATATTTAAGGGTTTGTATAATTCATGAGCTTTTGATTATAAAAAATTTTTTTTTTGATTTATACTTTCTTGTTTAATATCAAATATACTTTATAATTAGAGATGTAGAACGTAAGCGATTTACTTAAATAATGGATTTAGATCAATTACTGTAAAAGACATACAAGATGTACTTACAAGTTATTTAAAATGACATTTTAGAACATTATGATATTTATTTGTACAAAAATAAGTGGAGTCGTTATATCATGCAAGGTATGCATATATAGTACGTATAGGATAATATTTGAGATTTTGGGATTTAAGACATGGGATGGATTTGGGATTTGGGATGGAGTTTGGAATTAGGGATGGAGCTTGGGATTTGGCGATTTGGGATTTGTCTGGTTTTACCACATAGGATTTTAGACTTGACCGGACAATGGACAAATCCCAAATCCCAAAAGTTTGTCCGGTAAGTATAATTGTGGGGCGAACCAAAAAAACCTTAAAGCCGTAAATTAAGTCTAAATTTATGTTTTGAATGGACTGGAATTTGGGATTTGGGATGATACTGGAATGAATTTGGCCTTATGGGATTTCAAGTATAATTGGAAAATCCCGTTTGTCCGGGTTTGTCCATGGAAACATCCCAAATCCCAAATGTTTGTGCGGCATGTAGACACGTAATTCTAAGAAAAAAAAAAAAATAGGATAAGATTACGGCATCAACTGCCACGTTAATTTTTACGCATATAAAATAAATTACAGTATATGTAGAATTGACACTAGTATAATTAAATTTTTATCGATTTGTACATTTTTTTTATTTTAAAATAATATAAAGAATTTCAAATGCAACTTATATGCCCTTCTACATCCAAAATTGTCCGTAAGTTTCATACTATAGCAAACCAAAAAATTCTATTAAAATACCATCGTGCTCTTTAAACTAAAAGATCCTTAAATAAATCCTTAAAAACTACAATTTAAGAAGAAAAAAAAAAGGTTATGAAATTTATCACACGTATATATGTATATATACACAACATATAAATTATACCAAAACGAAGAATTGATTGTTTTAAACGGTTAAACAAAATTTTCAAATTTCTTTTTTTCTCACCTATTCAGCGAAAGTAAAACAACAAAAAATAACCAAGCTTGAACTGAAATAAAAAATAATGCATTCATGCGTGTGTGTTGTAGTTAACTACCGAACGGTAGTCATGTAAGCCTTTACTCGGTGGAAAAAAATGTATGATGTATGAGATTATGATCGTATTGAAGGATATGAAAAATAATAATAATAATAATAATAATAACAATAATAATAATAATAATAATAATACGCCTAATAATAATCCATTCTTACATAAATATCTTTCAGCTATTACATTCAAATTATTTTAATAATGGAGTTAAAATATTCAGGCATTTCGTTGTTGGTCCCTAGATGAACTTTCATAACTATTTCTTCGTGAATCATTTTGTTCACCAGCCAATAAATAAGTTTCGGAATTTTCAGACATGAAAGAAAGACGTTCAATATATCGATCTACTGAAGAATAAGAAGGTGGTGGAACAGTAATATCAGAAAGAGAAATGTCCAAGCCTGCATCCGGTATTTCATTAATGATACCATTATCAACATGTGAATATTGTGAACGAGGAACGTCTTCGGATGGACGCCCTCTAGAACTTGACTCTAATAAAATTGAGCCCCTTTCAGAACCATATGCAGGTGGTGGAGCAAGTGTTCCCATTGTTGGGGCAAGACCCCATTTTTTAACGTTTGCTTCAATAAAAACAAACCCTATTTGACCAAAATTAACATGAACAGTGCATGGACCATTTGCTCCAACGGTTGGAAACAGATTCATTTTCATTCCGGTAAATGCATCATCCAATTTTTTACCATTACGTGTAAAGAAAACGGTACCAGTCCTTGGACGATATCCAATACCGACAACATCACCTTGATGAAAGTGAGGACCATAAGGTTTTCCGTTGAATGGTGAATTATAATATTTAGATCCAGTATCTGAAAAATATGCAACTGACTGACGATTCCAACCTATTTTCATTTTTTTTTTCAATAATATCATGTTATTAAAATTTTTTTCATATAAAATGAAATTTATAGAAATGCGTTTATTATTACCTGGTAATCGGAATAAAGGATAAGGTTTAGTCGCCAATCCGACAGCAACAGTTGTTGTTGATGGTTTATCATACATTTTACATTCCCAATAATATACTTCTTGTTGTTTTGGTAATGGAAGATTGGTTTGCACACAACATTCACTATCATAAAATGCGATTTCAGTACGACATTCTACGAAACAACTTGTATGCTGAAGATCCGGTTCGAATTCCCACGCGGAGACTCCTTTTTCCTGAATAGAAAGGAATTGGGTTAAGGTAATTTCTGTAGGAATGCTATCGGGTGGATAAGTTTCTTGAAAAGCTTAAATTTTTTAGAAAAAGAAAGCGAATGAAAGAAAAAACAATTTAATATAAGACCAAATAATATAAAGTAGAAAAATAAAGGATCGATTGAAAATAAGGTATAAAGTTACTTCGCGCGCGTTCATAGTTTTGTCGTGCGGCATCGTCTAGAGTTTCAACCAAACTAGCTTCTGCTCGAGCAATCTCAGGATCATTAACATCAGGAATCCTATTTTTATCGCCCACAATCAGTCGTCGTCGAATAAACGCCCAAATTATTAAAATTCCAATTATGAAAATGATGCCAAGAACAACAAGTGTAACAACAGTTTTAGAACCACTATCATTGTTATTACTTTCGTTAAATTCCTTATTGTCGGCAGCAACCACCAAGGGCTGTAGTAAAACTATTATTGACATTGTTGTTGAATGGAAGCTGGAACTCCGATGGACTCCCATATTCTTCAATATTCCCAATGAAAAATTCCGCTGGAAGAATAAACGAATAATCCCAATAGGAGTGAATATAATGCTAACCAATAAAAATACACATATAGTAGCCAATCAATAACACATAATCATGTGAATACCATCATATATACTATCATATTAGCATATTTATTATATATAGTTTAACACGTATCGATGATTTAGAGTACCATATTTAATGTTATTATTCGATAAATTTTTTCATCAATTTTCTTGGGTGTTAAAAATACTGATACGTAGTATTAATGTTAAGTGCACTTAACTGTTAACCCTCGCTAATATCAACCTCATTAAACCTATAAAATGCTCATACATGTCAACTATGTCAACTTAAACATGATCCTTTATTAGTATCACTATCAACATGAATATAAAAGTGATATTTATTATTACATATAGAAAAAAAAAAGAACAGGCCAACATTTTTCACATTTTTTCAATCTGCGCCATCCGAAATGCTCGAGATGAATATGATTTTACGTAGTAGGCAAAATCCGGCGGCCTACGTCCGCGAATTGCGTAACCGACTTTGATACATATATATATCCATATATATACTTGTATGTATGGGTTTACTAATTTATCTTATTTTTTTTGGTAGATACTCGATTAGAACTTGAAGCAAATTAATAATAGAATTTAACCACTACATCTGGTGGATACACATGGTACCATTTTTGTCAACCATTACTTTTTAAAGATTAATAATACATAATAAGACATCATTTTAAGGACATTAAATAAATAAATTTGATACGTACGTATTGAAAGTTGATCATCGACAAAATCCTTGAATTTTTTTAGGTGCAAATCTTAATATATGTAATGGTAGGCCGGGTAATACTGGTTATAGTCTTCAATAATGATATATAGTAGTTTTTTGGATCGATTTTTATATATATAGATATAAATCATTGCGTGATATTACACAAGATTTTTGTCAAGATTAAAATAATCTGTTATGATTGATTGAGCCTGGTGAAATGGTAAAATTTGCAATTTATCTGTTAGGAGAAGCAAAGTAGATTTTCTGGTTTTCATATCTCGGCTGGATCAATTTTTTTCAATTTAAAATTTTTTTTATTTAATATATATTAAACGGTTTTACTATTCTGTTTCTATTTCTCAAAACCGTACTAAGTAAACTGCATCCTAACCTTAAATTTTAGCAAAAATAACAATATAATATATATATATAGTATCTGTATATTACTGTATTAAATATAAACTTTTTAAAAAATTACGTATACGTATTTATACACAATAACCAGGTAGAAGTTTTTATATATAAAAATTTAGAAAAAAAAAGCCAGGTGGCCGGGTTTGTTCAGAAGTAATGACATGAAAACCAGAAAATTAACTTTGCTTGGCCTTATGCTCTACAATCGACTCTAAATCTGAGTTCTAACCTGACTCAACCTCGAGTAGCATATACTATGAGGCACTGTACGTATGTACGTTGGAAAGTGAGGATGGACTCAAACTGAAATGCGTCAATAGAAAGAGAAGTGATTGGGTATTTAGAACTCACGATTACGAGCAGAATCACTAGTTTACATACTGCAAATTCGATTCTGTCATATGAGTGCTACAAAGGGAAAAAGGCCGTTCGGACTTTCGAGTATGTTATAATCAATATACTTGAAAGTCCGAGCGTTTTTTTCCCTTGACAGCACTCATAATTTCATAATAAACAATCCTTTAACAATTTAATTTAAACAATGTTAGTTACTGTAATAAGAATGGCTGTTCGCCAACTTTTTATAAAGAATAACTAACGATAAAACATTCGGAAATCGAAAATACTAAAAATACTATAGAATATTAAAATAGCCAGATACTATGTTGCCTATTACACAAAATTCAAAGTTCAGACTAGACACCTCCAAAAGCCAGTAATAACACTAACATTTGTCAAAGGCCGGTTAACTGGATCCTACTCGCCAAAGAGAAGTCTACTAAGGTACGCTGCAGACACCCTTATCAAGCCATAGCAATTTCCTCTAAGTATGTAATACAGTACAAATTATTGATAATAATGTTCTTAATTAAATTAAGAAATTATAAATATATTCTTTTTTTAATGAAATAAAACTTATAAAAAAAATCAAATCAAATAAATAGATAAAAATATTCGGATGTTAAAAGTTGAACAAATGAACAATGAATTACTGTCTATTTTTTGATCGGATCAGATTTTTATTACCGGTTGGCGGGTGACCCGTGGCTGACCCACCGGGTTGCTAAAACTCAACACGGATTATCCATCCACTCGGGTCCAATCCAGATCATATTAAATTTTTGTAACCATGTAATCGGGTAAATTACAGTTCGCGTAATATGATCGAATGGCTTACACAACCTGCATAGATGTTAATTAAAAATTCAATTAGTAGTATATAATCCTTTAAGAGAATTAACCAGATCTAGTTTGAATAAAATTCAGTTAGGTTCTCTAGTGTTTATTTAAGAAATTTGTCGAAATACTGTTAGAGCGTAGTTTCGTACATACTGAACCAGTAGATCTTACTCTAGGAAATTTATGCGCCAGAATAAAACTGAGTCTTATCGTGATTTGGTAATTTTGACGTTGCTATCTCAGTTATAGTCACGTTAATTTCTACTTCTCTATAATAAACTGACTGTTCTGGAGATTTCGTTCGTTATGTAATTATACCGCGAGTCCGCTATATAATTAAATTTCTTTATACTACACCAAACACATATAGAATATTGGTATAAATAGAGATGTCTCTCATTAGGCATAACTAATTGGCTAATAATGCTTATACACGCATTTATACTTGAGTAGAGTTTTGTCAAAAAAGACCTTTAGATTGATTCACTTTAAGTCTATTTCTTACTCGGATTGTCTGATTTTTCCGGTAAATTATGAATTTAACTGTTTTCTTAAATTCTGGGCACTTAAAATTGCTGATGACTGAAATCGATAAATATCAGTCGATGTCAGTAACTTATTGATTTCGACTCGTTTTGGACAGCGAAAATTTTTTATCTGTTCCCTAACGGTTCTCCTATATATATTAACCCTATTAGCGACAATGGACAAATTTACGCCAACTTTGTCGGCGAAATTGGTTTAATAAGCGTGTCATGCCCGTAGCTTAGCATTAAATCACGTTTTAGCATTATGTTACAAAGTTACGATCACAGCACAATCCAAATTCCAGCATAGGGTTGAGTATCTTCGAAATATATTTGTATAATCTATATACAAACCTGTTCGAGCCGACATAATTGTTTGACTTGATAATTTGTCCGGAAATTTGGACTATACACCAATCCAAATATTTGATAATATATATATATATATTTATATTCAATTTATTATTCGAAACCGCTTCTAAGCGTATTACGTACTGTATTGGATTAATGCGAATTATAATTAGGTATTAATAAATTTCAATAATGAATTTCACGTGATCACGTTTCTATAGGAAATAAAATAAAATAAAATATATTGATTGAATGAATAAGACATTGAACCCTAAAAACAATTAAAAACAAAAAACCTATAACATTAATATATATAAATTTATAATAATTTCTAATTTTTAAAAAGATGTTTGCTAAATGTCTATAACTATTTATAAGCTGATATATCTCTATTATAATAAATGAAGCTATGTTAAGAAGATTGAATGTCAAATAATATTGACCTAATTGTGATATTTCTTTATTGGCAAAATTAAGATAGAATTGAGTGTTATGAAGAATTTGCCCTATGGTTTTTTTGGTAATTGCTAGCTCTATTACTACAAGAAAACGATTCATATTTGGTTAGGGTATGAATTACATAGTAAACAAAAACAAAAAAAAAAATGTACTGTGATTTCAATCAAGTTAAATATTACGATATAAAAATATGCTTTTTTTTTTTGTTAATCTTCGCGCTCTGTTTGGTGAAAATTTCTTGTCAATATTTTTTTTACCTTTTTTTTTTTTTTTTTTACCCTTATATATTTTTTTATTTTATTTGTTTATTCGGCGGTTCCGTTTTCAGTTGTTGCAATGATTTTTTCGTGAGCATCACCAGGTTCCTCCTTGTCTTCTTTTTCTTTTTCTTTTTGTTTTCTTCGTTCTTCCACTCGTCGGAGCGCTTCGTCCGAATCTATTGGTTTGGCATCACCAAACGGATTTGGTTTTGCCGATCGTGGAGTAGGTGCTTCATTTGAAGGTGCGACCGTGCTTCGTGGTTTTAGTTCTAACTTTTTACGCACTGGCACTGATGTGCCAGTATCGGATGCCACTGCACGCGTATTGATAGAAACCGAGTTTTCAGATTTTGATTTTGAAAACGATCCTGCTTCAAATTTTCTCATTGAATTGTTATTTTTACCAATTCTTTCCTCCGAACGGCGTTCACGAAAACTGTTTGACCTGCTGTTACTGAAAGCGCCGCCTCTCCATTCCGTATCGATCTTACGATCTAATCTTTCTCCACCACTTCCTCCACGATCTACTCTCTCACTACTGCGATCGCTGCGATCACTACGATCACTACGATCAGTTCGGTCTCCACGGTCTCCACGATCACGAAATCCGCGGTCTCCCCATCTCTCTTCTCTATGACTAGGTTTATCACTGAAGCGATCGTTCCTCGGAGATGAAACGGATGGTTCCCTTGGAGGGGCTCGTCGCCATTCGCCAGCCGTCCGATCTTCACGTTGTTCTCGATCACGAGCTGCTTAATAATCGAGTCCTATTAGAATCGACTATATTGCATGAGCAACAACAAAAAAAAACACATTCATAAATTCTCACGTGGTTCAGCCACGCTAACCCTGATTGGTCGATTCCCAAGCGACTACAATAATCGTAATATGGTTGATGAATATTATTGCAATATTTTAAATTTATTTATTTATGATAAATGATAATATATGTCCACATACCTCTCCGCTCAACTGCAACGCTTTTGTCAATGACTCTACGTCTTCAAATTCAACATATCCAAAACCCTTAGGTTTATCATCCCTGTCACGAAGAATTCTGATGGTAATAATCTGAAAAAAATTTAAGATGCAACATTTAATTATTGTCAACAACATGTATCACTAAATCACTTGGCAAATTTGCTGACTTTTGAATTCCTAAAGAACGATTCCACATCGTTTTCAGTTAGGTCAAACGGTAAATTTCCAAGATGCGCAGTAAATGGTGGTGATGTTGGCAAGGGTTGAGGTGGTCGTTCGGGGCGACTCCCAAACCTAGAATCACGTGTCGGTTCGCGAGATTCATAGCGTGAATCTGCATGATGATTATGCGTTTACCATTAATAATAATTGTATATAATACTATATGAAAATGTGAAATATTTTTATCAATAATATTTTAAGCAGATAATACCTCTTGAACTCGTTTTTCCGGATGGATACATCCTACTTCTATCACCAAATCCACTACCACGACGATGTAAATCATCGTGTTCTCCATGACCTGAAATCGGATCAAATAGTTGGGATTAAAAAAAATTTTTTTAATAATAGTTTACAACATATTTTAGAAAAAAATAAATTACTTGAAAAGGCCGCGGCAGCTAGATAAATCGAACGTAATTGTTTAGATTTATAATAATTGCAAAATAGTTCGACATACATTATACGAGAACTCACGCGCAGAGGGTAAATCATCCATTTCATCAGCCCAAGAGCCGGTTGCTAGTTGAATATAACAATGTTTAACGTCGAATAATTACAAAAGCGTGCCAATGAAACTAAGTATGGTTCAATTATATCCAACGTACACTGATCTGCCAAAAAATCCGTCAGGGACATTTTAGTTCCTTTCTTTTTTGAGCCTAAGATCCCGACATTGATAATAAGAAAGAATAGATCCACAATAAAGTTATTCAACTTGAAATAGTGGCCACAAATATCAGCACATCAATCGAGAAACTTCACACTCACCCATTTTGAACGTTTTAAGGATGTTAAGTATAAAAAAATCGTGCAAAGGGCAAAGTGAAAAAAAAAAATGCTACACAAAAAAAGAACTTTGCACATATGCAAATTAGTTTAAAATTTGGTGGCTGTGGACCAATCGTGAATAGTCTGCAACGTATGATCCAAGGCCGACACCGTACGTATCACCGATTTCATATCACATGATTTGATGTAGTTAGATTTGTTTATATTGTTTCACGTCAATTAATTTTTAGAGCAATACAAAACGTTGATTTAATTGACTTAGAATAGCCGTCATTTGACTAACTGTAATAAATTAAATAATATACATTACTGTAATCTTAAATTACCACTGTAGATAGAAGTAAAATTTTTATTTTTAATTTTATTACAATTTTTATTAATTTTACCAATTTTTTTTTTTTAATTTAGAATATTATATAAGCTATTACAAAAGAAGTTTTTATAACTACACTAATATGTCTAATATGTGTATCATATTTTTAATTTTTTATTTATCACTACTATAATTTAAGTATTACTATATATATTTTGCTTGCTATAACATTAATAAATATAGGCTGTAACAAGCTATTATTAGTTTTAAAAAAATACAGTAATAATAAATAAATTTTAACAATTTAATTACTATAATTGACTTTCTATATAGCTATTATTTATATAATTATATTATATATAATTATATTTTCTTTTTTTTTTTAATGTTAAGACAATCTCTTTGGCCTAAGGATTTTTTATTAAATAATAACTTATTACAATTATGATGAAAGTACAACTAGCTACTACACTTTTGGTACTGTTTATACTAGATATTTGTATTTGCAACTAGTATTAAAAATCTGTTTTAAAATTTTTTTTTTTTTTTTTTAATTAAAGGAGACCTTCTTGGTTGGCGATTTTTATTAAGTCAAGTTCAGAACTATACATATAAATGAAGGTATATATAGCCACATGTGCACCTTTTGAGTGCCTAATTTAAGTAGTCTGCCCGAAGGTTCTATACTATTTGCCGTACCTGCACCCCAACTAGGGGGGTACCTATTTAAATCTTCTGATTTTAATATATTTGTCTGATGCCCATCTTAACGCAGGTGTAGCTCACTATTTAAATATAGATTTTGCGATACCACTATATAAACAGCCAACTTAGAACACTTTACTATCCTCAAAGGTAAGCCCAACAGAGCAGTACATGTTTTACACATGCATTCACCTGCATGTTTCATAATATCTTCTTAGTTAGTACCTGTTGTGCTGCCGACACCAAGTCCATATCTTAAGCTACCCTTTAAAGTACTACCGTAACCTAATCCGTATCTCAAGCCACAACTTTCCTAATTAGTTTTCCATTATATATTCATTGCTCTTAATTGGTTCACAACAACCCTAGTACCTATACTTGAAACCGTTTCTTTACCCAGATTTTTTATTGGTCCCTCCTTTACTTCCAGCTGGCAACCTGGATGGGTTGGTCTGCCCAGGCTTTAGGTGCCTGAAGGATACCCTCCCCTTGGTTCATACTTTCGAAGTATATACCCTTTTTCTCTAATGCATCGGCCTGGCAGTTTGGCTAGTGTGTCTTCCACTTAAAGACCTAATTGCTCGGTTCTCCGATCTCAGACCCTAGTTCGAATTCAGCTCTCCTGTGATACCATCAAAGATCACTGTTACATCCAAATTCGGGACTTCCCAAATAGGTTTTCAGTTATGCCAGTTCCTCAGGTTTATTGTATCAAAGCTTCCATTACTAGATGGTGTAACCGAAGTTACAGATTAGATCCAACCAATAGCATTAGCTGTCAACCGAAACACAGACCTATTTTTCAAATATCGTCATCTGTAGAATTTAAACTCTAGACCTGCCACTTGGAGAGAGTGACGACTAGACCACTACACTAAGTCGCCACACCTTTATCTGTTTTAAAATTTATGTTCTTATAAGAACATATTTACTTAATTTAATGTTTTCAAAAAATTTTTTATATTCTCAAATAAAAAAAATAATTTTTTTTTCTTTTTCACTATAGTTTAGTATTGAATTATTTTTATTTATTTTTTTTTTTATTTTGATAACCTTACACTAATTTATTTATTTATTTTTTTTTTTTTATTTTTTTTTTATCTTATCTTTTTTTTTTTATAAAATATTTTATTAT